GATAGTCAAAAATTTTAAATTGTTGGCAGTGGTAAGCATTATATAACAAAAAGAGTTGATGTGAAGAGTAACAATCTCGCTTCCAGCAGGGATATAGTAACCTCCTAATTGAGTATCTTTGTGCACATATCATAGAGGAATTACTAGGACAGGACTATGCTTTCTCAATGTTTCGTGAAAAACAGCTGATAAGTATGGAATTTCAAACAACTTGTCTTCTATGAAGCAACACATAGTCCTCATTTGACAACTTAAACGCCCTAGCCTATCCTAATACACCAAGCCCATCATAGGAAAGAAAGAAAAAATCAAATAAAATACCAAAGAACAATTCAAAATACAATAAACTCATAACATAAATTAATGAAAAACTTACTTTTAAGGGTGAGATCTCCAAATATAAAGAGAATCTGGTGAAAGAAAAATAGAACATGCCGAATAGTGGTTACTCCATAAAATGAGCACAAAAAGAAAGGGCTAATTTAGTTCAAAAAAGAAAAAAAAAACCTTAGCACCATCATAAAGGAACGTAAGGGAAGCTTCTATTGAATAGAAATAACACACAAAGGAGTACTTTCGCTTAATCTTTGATCAAACATGCAACAACAACTAAAAAATAAGAATAAAATTGCTGAAACAAACTTGATGATATGCAAAGCTTTTTGAGATAAAGTGATAAAGTTTCTTCAACCAATGAATAATTGTGAGTGAACAATCCATGCTGAAGAGCCTTGGAAGAATTCTTTCATCTTGAAGCTCATAGAGCTCATGCCAACACTGATCTTTTGGCTGACCTCAGACCCTTCGAGCTTCAAGGCTCCCACAAATCTACATATTTCTTCAAATCTTCAAAACCCTTCTCACTCACTTCCACCAAAAAAAATAAAACAATAAACAAGCAAAACTTAAAAGAATCGAGAGACATACACCCAAACCAAATCAAAATCAAACCAAAAATCAAATTTAGCTCTTAGTCACTATGAATAACTAAAAATGGAAGAGATCGGATTCCAAACAACAACAAATAAAATTGCGTAGAAGCAAGCACATTGAATTGTCTATTAGTGGTGAATAAAGAATACTAAACAATTCTCTAAAAAAAAAAACAACTCTATTGTGTGGGCGTGTGTGTTTTGTGAAATCACTCCAACTCTTTGTAAGTCGACCAACGTTTTCCTACAGCAGAGCAACAAAAACAAACAAAAAAAATCATCAATCCCAATTTCAAAAAGGGAAGATTTCTTAAAGCATATTATCAAACATGTGGTGGGCATATATGTGAACCATAGTAGCGACTGCACCTTGACGGAGGCTGTGACGTGAGTCAGAGTGGAACGATTCCTTAATTGCTCACCATAGCCATAGAAAGAACCAGACCAATAATTTGAAGGCCCCCTCTTCTAGATGGGGGTTGCAAACCTGCTATGTTCTGCAACACCTATGGCAATCCCATTGGTTCGCAAAACTTAGAAATTTCAACGAGAGAGAAATAGAGAGTTTCAGCGTGTACCTGGAATCAATTTGAGCAGCGGAGAATTACTGCAGAGAGTTCGAGGGGTATGAGCAGTGGAGAGTGAGTCAGCAACGGTTTGTGTGTGTGAGTGTTTTTATGTGTGTTTTCTGCGTAGAGAGAGAGAAAGAGAAAAGAGGCGTGACTGAGAGAGGAGACCGAGGGAGGGATGGAGGGAGGGAGGGAGGGGGAGAGAGAGAGACATCGTATGAGTGTGAGAGAGAGAGGTACAATAGTAGTATAGGAATATAGAGTTGTATACGAGAAGAAAGGCTTACTCAAATTTTTGAACGGGGAAAAATAAATTCAAACATCAATTAAGATTACATAATCAAAATTTAAAAAGGAACTGTTGCTACGCGACAAAAAAATTCAGTATTCATCTCAGACCGTTAAATCAAATTTTTTGGAATGATCTTAACCATCTTTTATGTTGAGATTATATTATCCGTCGGATATGTTTATATTTTATCTCAAAACGATTTAGACCTCTCTTTGTTATTTAAATTCAAACTTTGTTTTACTTTATTATATTTATATAATAAAGTAGGAGTATGTTTAAATTTTATCTCAGTCATATTTTTTCTCTCAAAATCATCATCAATCACTTATCTCACTCGTCATTCATTTGTTAGACTCAAATGTCATATCACATCACTTATTTCTATCATATATGTTTAATTATTTATATATTTCTTCCCTAAAAATTTCACATCACTTATTTCTATCATATATTTAATTATTTAATATTTTATTAATTTATAGTTAATATATTTTGAAAAAAATTAATATAATGAGATTAATTTTTTTGACACTCGAATTTTATAATTTATCGTGTCTTCAAGCACGAGTTATGGCTAGTAAATATATATGTTAGAAGGATAAAATTGAGTTAAAAGAATTAGTGATGGTTAAAAATGGAAAACAAAAGTTTTACACATATGCTTACTTTTATAGGTAGTATGATATGATATGATATATATATATATAGACCAGTCATTACTCGTGTCTGAAGACATTATAAAACAAACAAATGAAATCTTAAATAATTATCCAAATTTAAAAGGAATGACGTAAAAACATTCATACCAATTTTTTTTTTAAAATGACTCAAAATATATTGTCGATCATATCCTTCGTATTAATGACATTGTGATAAAAATATATAAAAACTCTTAATAACAATACCAACATCATATATACAAATACATCTAGGAAAAAAAAATACTAACATAACCTTATTGAAAGTTATAATTTTAAGTAATAAATAAAATCTTGTTCATTTATAAGACTCGCGAAGTTATCACTTTTATTACTACTCAATCCAATAATACAACATAATTATAAACTTAACCACTATATTTCTAATCCATCATATCCCCACGTAATAAATACCTCAAGCNTTAACCACTATATTTCTAATCCATCATATCCCCATGTAATAAATACCTCAAGCAAAAAAAAAAAATACTAATAAAATATAATTAAATTCACAATTTTTAAGCGATAAATAAAATCAACAAAATCTTACTCATTCATAAAATTTATGAATTTATCACTATTCAATCTTAAATGACACAATATCATTACAAATTTAATCACTAAATGTCTGATTCCCCACATATAAATATATACAGAAAAATATTCATATACATTTCTTTTTTTGGTTACCAAAAAATCCTCCTAACCAATAACTACTCAAGTTTTTAAGATATAATAATAAAAAATTAATGTTTAATTAAAAAATCTGGATAAAAATCATGAAAATTCCCTGAGTTTTGACAATATTCCATGGACAACTCCTAACATTTTATAAATAACACAGAGACCAACTGAAGTTTGAATTCATTACATAGAGACCCCTCTGTCTCCCTTCCGACAATGTTGCTAATGAAAATTGATAATTTTATCTAAATATTTTTTTTATTATTTTTACAATTGCTCTTCTCTAAATTTAGTATAAACAAAATCAAAAATTTAATAAAATCAAATAAAATTTAATTTTGTACCAAAAAATTGATTAAATGAATTTTAATATTAATTTGATAATAATCAAAACTAATTTAATATTAATTCGACAAAGTTTACTATAAATTGAAAAAAATTAAATGTCAAATTTATATAAACTTATATATTGCAATTTAAGGTTAATTTTGTGTTGAATATTATTTAGTGTTTTATAATCGATGTGCTATTTTTTTATATTTATATTGAGTATTATTTACAAATTAAGAATCAAGTGACAAAATACATGCTATCATATATATAAAATTTTTGAATTAGTTTCATAGAATAAATAATTTTATAAGATATAATTTTATATGTTTTATGAAGTATATAATAACAAAAATAACACAGAAGAAACAAAAAAAAATAATAGTATGAGAGAGAGAAAAAAAAATTATATGAAAGTTGAGGGTCTTAGAGTTATACAAAGAATGAAAGATCAATTAGAACCATCCGATTAAAACAATTTAAGCCGCGAAAAACTCAAGACAAATAATCTAGCTACTTTATTATATAGATATAGATATAAATGTAAATAATAGTAGATTTTTGTTGATTATAATTATGAGAATACAATTTATTTATCTAGAAATGAACGGAGCACTCTCAACCCTTTCAAAACGAAGCACTCTCAACGGACCATGAAACTGTGAATTTGTGTTTAACAATAAACAATTCGATGTCATTGCAATACATAACATTAAAAAATTCATATCAAAACCAACAATGCATAACCCATTGGTCATTTTTGATTTTCTCATATGAGAAGGAATTGTAACACTTCTTTTATTTTTATTTTTTTGAGTGTTTTTTTTTAGTGACAAATCTTAGATTATGTACACTAGAAAGGAAAAAAAAAACAAGTTATTTCATCCATCTTCTGCATAATTACACCAAAAAAGACATAAGAGCTATTTTTCATTTGCCAGTAGTTTTAGATGTAAAAAAAAAAAAAAAAGGAATTGAATAAAAAATTGATTGAATAGTATGAAATTTCAGACCAAAAAAAAAAAAAGAATAGTATGAAATTAGTTTTATAAACGATTTGTGATCATCTATTTAATATTACAACTACCAATTTGAATTGCACATTTATAAAAGCTTAACAATGGTTGAGATTAAATCTAATGTCATCTAATGGTATAATTTGTATCAAACAAAATTCATTCCAAAAAAAATTTTCATCCAAAAAATATAATATTCTTAATTTTCATAACACCCGACAACTCAATTAAGACACTCTTTAATACCAGACAATCCCTTTAATTCTCACTTACCTTTCTCTTCTCTCTTCCCTATCTCTCTCTTATTTTCTCAATGTTTGTTTTAATTTTAAAATTTTATAATTAAATAAAAAAATATATTTAAAATATAAGAATTATACCATGAATATTCAATTTTTTTTATTTTTATTTTTTATGATAGAGTCCGCATCAAGAAGGGCCAATAATCTGTGGTGTTCCTGACCACTACGAGAGCAGCCATGTCAGCCGAGCCAATACTACCAAAATCAACTCAACGCGGAAAGCGAAGGGAAGATGATAATTACGTCATCAACTCCCGTAAGCGTGACGTCATGAGTCACACTAGGCTTCTGATTGCCACGTGGCAAAATTCTTATACACTGATGGTAAGGCGACCCGGAAAAATATTTTTTCTTTTCCCACACGTGTACCTTGCCCGTAAAAGACACTAAGATGGCCTTTTCTTTTTCTTTTTCTTTTTTTTTTTTTTAGTTTTCCCTTTTTCTTTTTGTAAAAAAATTAGTTTGAATTATATCATGTGACTTGTGTATCGGTATTTTTGTGTCATATCATTGTTATTCGTATCGTATTTGTCTCAAGACCCAGAAAAGTGATAAATATTATTTTAGACTATTTAGTATACATATTTAATAATCATATGAATTTTAAAATTATGTTGTGTTAGTTTTGTGTCGAGTTTGTGTTGACGGATTATAGTTAACACAATGACACTATCTTTTTGTGTACTGTTTGGTTTTATTAATTTTTTTTATTGAAATATTGTTTTTCCCTTTAACTCACTTAAATGTAATAAATCTCATTTAAATTTCTAATAAAAAAATTCAAAATTAAAATAAAATTAAGCAAAAAATTATTGACAAGACTTATATAGTAATTAATAAAAAAAGTATGACAATCAAACCTTTATATTTATCCATATAATATTGACTGGAAAATGCTTTTATTCCTTAGTTCTTTCAAACGAAATGATCAACTTAATTTCTCAACAAGCTGAAATTAATTTCCTAAAAATGGAGAAAACAGAAAGTTGCATGGCACATGCATCGTTTTTTATCATGGCTAGAGCTATCAATTCTTAAATTTAATTATGAACCGGAGACGAAATTAATAAAAAATTTATAATATGTATTATTTAGTTTTAATGGACTTGGATCATAATCAGGTTAATTGATCATACTCACTTAATAAAGAAGTCAATACGAGCCTAATTATATATAAAATACAAACCTAATTATACATAACTATATATAAACTATATGTAACATTAAGGCGACACAATACGATTATGTCTTAGGTGAATTTTAATACAACCCAACTTAATAATCGTAAGAACTAGTTGACACAACACGGACTCATGGATTTGAGTACGATATCAAAAAAATTATTTTTGATACCATATCTCCATTGATTATATTTTTATTATATTTATGGATACTTTAACCAATGTCGTGCTACCAAAAAAAGATAAAAATGGTTACCACAATAATAATAAAAATATCTCAAATGTGATAAAAATACATATAAATGTAATGAATCACTCACAAAAATAATAAATTTTTTTATACTTCAAAAAAATGATAAAAATACTCACAATAATGGTAAAAATACTTATAAAAATGATAAATCAATCACTTTCTGATAAAATAATTCACAAAAATTATAAAAATATTTTTTAAATAATAAATTTTAGAAATATATTACTAAAATATTTTTGGGGCCGGGGTAACCGTAATCATATCCTAGGCTCATAGTTTACAACAATGATAATGAAAGTCAAAACCTATCTCTTCATTGGTTTTTGGGAATCAACGTCATAATAACGACGAAGAATAAAAGAGTAATAATATTTGAACTGAAAAATATGATCTAATTTATTGATATAATAATATAATTTTAATAAAATTATTGGATCAACACCAAGTTATAATATTTGATGAGCCCTATCGTCAATCCAAAGATCATAATAAATTAGGTCAATAAATTAGGTTAATAAATTAAGTCTCAATAGTATTACTCAGAATAAATATTATAAGAACAATATTATAGAAATTTAATTTGAAAAAGTAATTTAATGTCATCATTAAATTAATTGTGTGTTTCAATATTAAGTGGAATGCACTTTTAATCCAACAATTATAATTAATTAGGTCCCTAAATTAAGTTCAAATAATATTTTTTTAAAATAATTCTTATATCATTTCTTTTTTAATTTTTGGACGGGGGAGAAATCTTTGGTTTGTCCTCAGTGAGATAGAGATAACTTTCACGGGGACTTGTGAATTCGAGTAAAATCGAGAGCAAACTCTAATTACATAAATCGGTCTCTCAACTCATACACTAATTAAATTAGAATTTATAGCTTTGTAAGATTTCAAATTCATATCAAAAAATTAGATACGGTTCATTTAAATAACTGAGTTTCAGTCTATCAATCATTTACTTTTTTGTCACTTAAGAGATTTGAACAATTGACCTCATAAAAATTAAGACTTCATAAAATAAAAACTACCATTAAACCAAATGTCACTCGGCACTTATATCAATTCTTATCTTCTTACAAGCACACATGGAATGATAGAGAGAATAGTGAGAGTATCATTATGTTGAATACATATTCCTCACGCGCCTTGTTGAGCTTGGGCCAGCAATATTTTCTCTCTTTTCTTTTCATTTGCTCTATCATGGCGGCATTTATTCCCCCCCCCCCCTCTCTCTATGGGGTGAATTTAAGTTGACGTAATATTATTGATGAATAATAATAAAATAATTAAATAAACATACCTCATAAAAATTTATAAATAATATTTTATGTAAATAAATAAGATAAATTACACTAACACCCCTTAATATTTGGTTTTATTACATGAACACCCCCTCACTTTTCCAAAATAACACTGAAACCCCAAAAAATGAACGTTGTTAAAAACACAAACAAAAAGACCAATTTACCCTCACCTAAACTACCCATTAAAACCCAAGATCCAAGATCCAAGACCCAATACCCAATACCCCTCCCTAGAAAACTGACCCCTCCCTTTATACGCACACTCTCTCTTTCTCAAAGCCCCAACGTCTCTCTCACTCTCTCTCCGTATCAGACCTAAAGCCCCAACGATCTTTACCTAGTGGCGCAACGAACGATCTTTAGGTGATCGATACCAAGGGTTTGTGATCTCCATCTCTCTGTCTCTCCATCTCTTTGTGATCGATACCTTAGGTGGTGGAACAGGTGGTAATGGGTGGATTTTGCAAATGGTGGTTGAAACCTTAACCTCTACGATGTAGTGATGTAGGTTGATGATGAGTTTGATCCAGGTGGTGGTTTCAGTGGTAGTGGAGGCAGGGTTGATTTTAGTCTCTCCTCTTTCTCTATGTTGGTGTTGGTAGACCAATGGTGCTTGGTGGGTTTCGGTGGTGAAACGGTGGTGATGGGTGGGCTTAGGTGGTGGAACGGGGTGATGGTTGGTAAGAGTAAAAATTTATGTAATTAGATAAATAAAAATAAAAATAAAAATAAAATTAATATAGTATAATTGGATAGGTAATTATTAAGATTTTTTAAAAAATGATTAATTTTTAAACTGTACTAATAATTTCAAATATTATTTAATAAACAAATTTTTTAAAAAAATTAACTTATTAATGTAATAGATTAATAAATTAAATATGAAATATATAGATTAAAAAAATAAATAAGAGGTTGGGTAAATTTGTAGGTAAGAAAAATATTTATTTTAATTCTTAAACTTAATTTGGAGGGTATTTTTGGTATTTTAAGAATTATTGTTGATGACATCAATGTTGTCCATGAATAATTTTAATGTCCGTTAGTTAGAGAGGATATGATTGTTACAAGTATTAAATATCAAGGGAGTTCGGTGGTATTCTTAAAATGTGAGGGCGTGTTCGTGTAATAAAACCAAATATCAAGGGTATCAATGTAACTTACCTTAATAAATATCCCCTCACCTTCCTGTTATATAAGTTCAAATAAAATTTGCATTTTTCATTTAAAATTTTATTGTTGGCCGGTGATATTACGTCGTCGACGGTGACACGGTGTCACAGTTCTCTCCTCAAAGCAAGCTTAACTGGTATAGCAACAACATCACCAAGCTTTACTCTCTTTCTTAATCGCCAATTGCTGCGAATATACTTTTTCTCTCCACATTGTTGCTACTTTCTGCCTCTTCCTGCTGAAATTTGTTTGCTCTGCAACTCCTTTTTGTGCTGCTTTAATCAATTCAAGAAACCAAGGTGCGACGAAAATGCATTTGTTTAATCTCCTCTCTTTTCCAATAATTTTTGTTTAATTATGTTTGTGTAGAACATATAATAATGTTGAATTTATGCTATTTAAAAACACCAGTTACATCCATCATGCTTTTGTTTTTAAAATGCCTGCTGGAATAAAAAAATCATCATCTGTTTCATGTGCAACTATCTTTTGATTCAAAATTCTTACTAGTATTCATTTATTGAAAAATAATTTTTTTGTATTAATAAATTTTAAATTTTTTTGTCTATATTTTCAGCTTATAGCATATTTAATTATATTTTGGTATCCAAATTCAACTTCAATTAATAGATTTTATATAACTAAAGCTACTGAATATTTTCAGCAAGGTCCTCCATCTTATAAGACTTTGAGAGTTGAGATATGGTGATGATTTGCCAGTGTGGACGACAAAAGTAATAAACACAACCACAATGCATTCCAGAAGTTTATTACTGAAAAGCATACTCTCATTTCTCTTATGTTGTGATTTTGCAGCGGATACGCCTCTCTCAATATCTGCTGCCAATCTTTTGCTCAACTCTGCTCGGAAAGTATATCTGGGCTGCCCTCATTTATATAATTCAAGAGTCTTTAGAAAGTTTTGCTTACTCTTCCTTCTCTTAAAAAAGGAAAAGAAATCGGAAATGGCCGAGGCAATTGGGTTCTCTTGTTTGGGAAAATTCACAGAACTGTTTGTAGATTACTTGGTGTTCCCAATAGGACGAAAGTTTGGATATCTATTTTGCTACAACAACAATATTCAAAATCTGGAAAAAGAGGTCATGCATCTAAAAAATATAAGAGATGGGGTGCAGCAATCAGTAGACGCAGCCAAAAGAAACATAGAAGTTNTTACCTCTTGCAATTGTAACTCTCGCCGAGGCACTGAAAGGTGAAAAGGAGCATTCGTGGAATAATGCACTTCGAGAACTACAGAGGTGTAACAGAATGCCAGAAAAGGTTCAAACCAGTATAGAGTTGAGCTACAATCTGTTGAACAGAGAAGAAGCCAAGTCATTGCTTCGACTTTACAGTTTATTTCCGGAAGATTCTGATATTCCTCTCGAGTGTTTGGTTAGATATGTGGTAGGACTATGTTTGTTTGAAAAAGTTGAAACTGTGGCAGAAGCAAGAGACACGGTGTACTCATTAAACGATCAACTCAAAAGTCGTTTCTTGATACTCCACGGTGATGGAGAGAAAGTGAAATTACATGATGTTGTACGCGATGTATGCATATCAATTGCATCTAAAGGTAGGGAAGCATATTTGGTAAGGTGTGATGCAGGATTGAAAGAGTGGCCACAAGAAGATACATTCAGACATTACTCAGCCATCTCATTGATGTTCGACCAATTGGACAAGTTTCCTATTGGATTAGATTGTCCGAACCTCAAGCTCTTACAGGTGCAATGCAAGGGAGTTCCACGATACGACCCTACTAATGAGAGTTGTACCAGAGTTGACTCAATAGATTTTTTTAAAGGGATGAAAGAACTCAAAGTTGTTGGTTTCAGATCAATGCCCCTTCTGCTTCCACCACCACCACCACTCAAATCTTTGCTAAATATTCGAACATTGTGTTTGGATTTTTGCCGGCTGGACAATAACACATCCTCCATGATTGGAAGCCTAAAGAGCTTGAGAGTTCTCAGCTTTTTTAAATCTTACATTGAGGAATTACCGAGTGAAATTGGACAACTTGAGCATCTACAAATATTGGANAAAAGAATTCTTGTAATATTAGATGATGTTTGGGAAAAACTTGATTTGAAAAAACTTGGAATTTGTTTTGGAGCTGGCCAAAAAGGGTGCACAATTGTATTGACTTCTCGAAACGAACGTGTTTGTATTGAGATGGAATTTCAAAAAATCATTGTAGTCCAAGTCCTACCTAAAGACGAAGCATGGAATTTTTTTAAGAAGCAGGCGGGAATTACCAATAACATCCCTGTGCCACAGGCCATAGCAAAAGAGGTTGCAAATGAATGTGGAGGCTTACCTCTTGCAATTGTAACTCTCGCCGAGGCACTGAAAGGTGAAAAGGAGCATTCGTGGAATAATGCACTTCGAGAACTACAGAGGTGTAACAGAATGCCAGAAAAGGTTCAAACCAGTATAGAGTTGAGCTACAATCTGTTGAACAGAGAAGAAGCCAAGTCATTGCTTCGACTTTACAGTTTATTTCCGGAAGATTCTGATATTCCTCTCGAGTGTTTGGTTAGATATGTGGTAGGACTATGTTTGTTTGAAAAAGTTGATACTGTGGCAGAAGCAAGAGACACGGTGTACTCATTAAACGATCAACTCAAAAGTCGTTTCTTGATACTCCCCGGTGATGGAGAGAAAGTGAAATTACATGATGTTGTACGCGATGTATGCATATCAATTGCATCTAAAGGTAGGGAAGCATATTTGGTAAGGTGTGATGCAGGATTGAAAGAGTGGCCACAAGAAGATACATTCAGACATTACTCAGCCATCTCATTGATGTTCGACCAATTGGACAAGTTTCCTATTGGATTAGATTGTCCGAACCTCAAGCTCTTACAGGTGCAATGCAAGGGAGTTCCACGATACGACCCTACTAATGAGAGTTGTACCAGAGTTGACTCAATAGATTTTTTTAAAGGGATGAAAGAACTCAAAGTTGTTGGTTTCAGATCAATGCCCCTTCTGCTTCCACCACCACCACCACTCAAATCTTTGCTAAATATTCGAACATTGTGTTTGGATTTTTGCCGGCTGGACAATAACACATCCTCCATGATTGGAAGCCTAAAGAGCTTGAGAGTTCTCAGCTTTTTTAAATCTTACATTGAGGAATTACCGAGTGAAATTGGACAACTTGAGCATCTACAAATATTGGATTTGAGGTTTGCGGGACGCCCTGGAAGAATTTCGCCAAATATTTTGTCCAAGCTGGATAAACTTGAAGAGTTGTATGCAGGCGAAAATGACGTGAATGATAGCATTGCAGAGTTGAACTCAATGTCTTATCTGAACACGTTAGATATTTGCACAAGTGTAACTGCTGTGCTAAAATTGAAACACTTTTGCTTTGATAACCTGAGAAGATTTCGCATAACAATTGGTTCTCCGGTGTCATTCAATCTGTTGTTATTCCGTCTGTCGGAAGGCTACGGGTTACAAAACAGCTTGAGTCTCTATGGTTGTGACTTGGGTATGCTTTATGATTTTTGTATAAAAGTTTTGTTGAAGAGATCCAAACATGTCTCGTTTCTAAATCTGAAAGGCTTGGGAAGTAATATTTTCGATGCCCTTGATGTAGATGATTCGGTAAGCTGGGAGGAACTAAGTGTTTCTCATTGTGATGAGCTCGAATATCTTATTTGTAGGGATATTCCGGCGGAGACCTTTGCCTTTGGAAAACTGCAAATGTTGAAGCTAGAGTACCTACCTGCAATGAAGGGTCTATTTCCAGAGTCCATGGTCAAATGTTTGGTGCAACTCCAAGAACTACATCTATTTCGGTGTAAGAAAGTGGAATACATTGTTGCAAAGGAAGGAGGAGAAGATGAAAAAGATTCTAAAACCATCGTTTTCCCAAAACTGAAGTACTTGCGTTTGGAAGATCTGGACATGCTTAGAAGCTTTTGCTCCAACTCAGATATTTTGTTTCCCAAACAGGTGTGCTTCTCTTTCTTGAATATATCTCCAAAATTACTTTAACACAACACTGACATGTAGTTTTACTTTATTTTGATTTGTTTGTACACATCACACCTCAGCCTTTAGTGGGAAACAACTTAGAAATGAACATGTTTGTGAGAAGGCAACAAATTTATTTTCATCTGTGAAAAAACAAATAATTTAGGGAAAAGGGTTTTTTGTTAAAGATGAAGGATACTTTAGAAATGAATACCTTAACTTGCTGATACTTGTAATGCATTTATGATTAAAGAAAGCAATAGAAAGTAAGAAATTCTAGTGGGCGAAGGAATTTCACCACCACACAAAAATAGTTTCTCTAAATTGGGATTTTGCAATTCACCATCATTACGTCATCTCTGTTATCTCTCACTCTTTTTATTTCTCTTTATAAACAAAATTAATACTATTTGAACCTAAAAATTTGACTTAATTTGTTGACATAATGATGTAACTTCATAAGAATCATTGGATTAATACCAAATTCTAATGTTTGATGGGGTCTACAGTAAATCCAAAAGTCATAGTGAATTTGATCAACAAATTATGTTAATAAATTAACTCCCAATAACATTGCTCTATAAACAATAGACACTCTCCCTCTTTTAAAAAAAAAACTACAAACGTACACACATACTCTCCCCCACTTCCAAGTTATTGTTTTTTAACGAACCTACTTGGTTCTTTGGAGATTATTACGAATTCTATTGCGTTAGTACTTAATCAAAATTCTTAATTTTTTTTATAGAATTAGTTGTTAGAATGGAACAATAAATATACTTATGCATATCATATTGCATTTGTTAGAAATGTTAATTTATTTGTTATAAAATGGTATTACAAACATGTGACTAGCAATAGATATTATATATGCTTCTTGTGAAAAAAAAATAGTCAATTACCCTTGAGGTATGTCACCTAACTTTTTTTTTTTTTTATGTTGATCGTAAAATGCTGTGGCGACTAAGTTTTTTGAAAAAGAGAATTTATTTAATTATTAAAATGTTGTTAACAGTGGCAAGGCACACATGGGCCAGGGGGCCCAGGCCCACCTTATTATTATTATTTTTTACCTATGTATGTCTTGTATATTTTTTTTAATATCTTCAATTGTGCCCACCCTGATATCTTTAAATAAATAAATAAAATTGGGTCCCTTGGGAGAACAATCTCTTGGAGTCAATAATAAAAAAAAAGAAATTTATAATAAAAAAGTTTGGCCCACTCCATTCTCAAGTTTTGCCCAAAAGCATTAAAGCAAACAAAGCCCCAGTAATCAATGAAGTATCACGCGCCGTAGCCTTCAAATTTTGGTATTGATATTACAAGTTATGACTTTGATATTGATATTTTCATCACATCCCTTATATACTTAACCTCATTTTTTTGTAAACGGCTATAATTAACCTCTTTTTTGTAATGTTTTTTTGTTTGCATAGATATTGTATACTTACTTTTGGTCCTTCTATGTTTAATCAATCTTTAAGTATCAAGTATGATGTAAAAAAATAAAATGTATCACATTATTTTTACTTATTAGAGGACAAATAGTTAGAGTGTGCCCACCTTTTAACATATTTTTGGCTCCGCCACTGGTTATTAACAAAAATTTCAAAACACCAAATAGTACTAAAACAAGTGATTGATGGTTTTTTGTTTTTTGTTTTTTATGATTAGAAAGACAATATTGATGATACAATTAATTGAAGGGAATTCAAATATTAACACGTATTTGATAAGTTATAATTTTACAAATGTTAGTGCCCCTCAATAGGACATCATAGGAGAAACAAGTTTAACACAAACAACCATGATAGCATGTGGTTCAAAAGAAAAATATGATAATTAATATAGCACAAAGACGAAATAGAATTCATGTAATCGACTCTAGTTTAAACAACCCTTTGTTGGGTTAAAATTTTTAATCCAAATATGCCTTTAGCATCCAATTATTGTTTTGGAATTAGATTCCAATCATATTAAAGAGGATTGCATAGTTACCTATGAAAGTGGTTTACATTTTTATATTGATCAGTACTTTTGTTTAATCTTATTGACCCTCCTTAAAAGTTGATATTTTTGCCAAAGCTAAAAATCATTTACTTCAACATGGTTTTTTTATGAATATTGAAGATACTAAAAATAAAAAACAAAGAGAAATGGAAAATTAGAGGGTTTGGTAAAAGTTAGTCAGGATAAAAATTCAGAAGATCGTGAGTGAAAATTAAATAAATTAAAAAGACTTATTTTCAAATATCATTTGTCAAAATTTAATTGAAAAATGCTACCCTAAAGTGCAACTTGTCCGCAACATGTAGAGGGTTTGATATATGTTGAAGTTTTATTGAATGAAGCTCCTTTTTTTGTTCCGTGCTATGTGTAGTTAAGTGCTATTGGACATACATACAGTTTATCATGATCACTTACTTCAAAACTTTAAATAATCGCAGGTTTTTCTGCCTAACTTGGAGAAACTATATCTCCAACGAATCAGTGTGGTGCACATAGTAGACTACCAAATGCAAGGATGGTCCTTCCACAAACCAAGAGGCTTGGATGTGTCGTATTGTGAAAAGGTTTTCAATGTTGTTGCACCTGGTCAGCAAAAACTATTTCCAAATCTTGAATTCCTTCATGTCGATGATTGTTGCGAACTGGAAGCGGTGTTTAACTTCGAGGGGTTAACAACTAGGAGAGATCATGCTGAAGTCACACTTGGTCAGTTGGAGTTGATGAGCCCCGATTCGATTGGGTCAGACCCAAGTAATTAAATAAGCCCAAATTTGTTACATGGCAGTTCAAACTTAGTTCATGGATTCGGCCTACACTAGAGTTCAAGGAGTCCAAGAAGATTATCGTACGTGGAGAGTAATTGTCGAGATAGCCACTCTCAAAGATCAAGGGTATCTTTAATTGTACATATCCTTAATTGTAGTTATCCTCCCCATAGAACTAGTATCTTTACCCTCACGTCATCGTCTTAACCAAAGTTTTGTGCCTATAAATGTAAGCTCTCTCTATATGAGAGGAACATCTCTAGATCTCTCTACACACCCCTCACATAGCTATTTCTCTCTCAGTTATCATATCTCTTCCAGAGCTCATATTTGTTCGCTCTCTCTCTCTCTCACCTACTACTTCATCAATAAAGAACATTGGCTACCGTTGTTATCTTTAAAGTTGAGTAAATCACCTTAACCGAACTACTATATATCTGTGTGTTGACTCAGTATTTATCTTTTACTATTAATTGCTTATTGATTGTCTCATTAATTACCCAAAATCACATACTCGACTGTTGATTGTGCATAAGCCTGTTTTGTGTATCATCAGTTTGACACCGTCTGTAAGAAACGACTGAGTTTTTTATTACCTTGCTACTATCTTTCAAATCCATAGCAATCACGACCAGGTTGATGAATCAACAACCAGAGGACAACAACCTAACACGCCAAGAAAAGGCTCAGGCTCAGGCTCTGCCTCTGCCTGTATCTGCAGAATCATCCACTGTGCAACTCCCATGGTCGGGCAATAGCTTTTGGAGATCATACAGTTGTTGGTAAACCAAAACCAGTATATTATTTAGTTGATGCTCGCCTCGGGAGGCATCGACCCTCATCCTATAGGAGGAACACCACTCTCTTCAATAGGAGAAGTACCACAACTTCTCTACTTTGGGCTCTAAGGCGCCCCCCAGCGCCAAGGCATCCCCATGCAGAGCCAGGGCACCCCTCGCCATGGAGTCCCTCCTCAGCATACAGGTGCCTCACATGTTCCCCCTCCTCATGTACCTGCTCCACATGCTACCAACTATCTTAGGCAGGAAGATGATGGAGAGAACCAGTATATTGATCATGAAAGCCACTACAATGATCTAACGGGGAATATCCCCAACTAAGGGGATGAGAAGATCAAGGAAGTGTAAAACAAGCTTGGCGATGCCCTCAAAGCCATTAAAGCATAGGCACTGGAGATGGTGGATTATTTGGTAAGGCGCATGGATACGCCGTTTGTTGCGGATGTTGTCAATTACCCCTACCCTCAAAATTCAAGATGTCTGTCATCGAGATCTTTGATGGTACCAAGGACCCTCTAGATCATCTTGACACATACAAATCTCTCATGCAACTCTACAACATGCTTGATTAGATCATGTGTAGAGTCTTCCCCACCACCTTGAAGGGGTCTGCTCGACAATGGTTTGCGAAGATCAAACTCTCTTCTATTCACTCATTCGCAGAGCTGAGCAAATCTTCCTTCATTAGGGGACGCTGACATTAGAAGCCTGTTACCCAATTGCTCACCATCAAGCAGGACCAGGATGAAAGCCTTAGGAGCTACTTGACTCGTTTTAATGAGGGGGCTCTCCAAATCGAGGAGACATATGATAAGATAACCATGACTGTCTTTTATTGCAAGTCTGCGCTCCTCTAGTTTCATATTTTTTGTCCTGAAGAAGCCGCCCTCTAGCATGCTTGAGCTACTGTCAATGACACAAAAGTACATGAATGTAGAGGATGTCACCAATGCCAGACGAGGTGAGTCCTCTCAAGGAGGATGGAAAAGGAAGGACACCCTTGAGTAGGGGTGTTCAAATTTCTGATTAGCCTCAATTTTCTACCCTACTCGACCCTATTGAACGGCTAATCGAAAAAATCAGATAAGAGTGCAGAAGAGTTTTTGGTCTTTCAATTAAATTGGGTAGAAATGCAGAATAACCATTAATTTTCGTATTCCTACCTTACCCTACCCGTATTAATATCTCTAACTAGATGGTTTGAACTTAAAATAATTGTTATTGTATTTGTGCAACAATTATGATGCATTGATGTTTATGATTTCTTGTGTTTTATTGTAATTGTTGTTGTAATTGTTTTAGGTTTTAGTGTTATTAAATTGGTGAATGTTATTTAATTGAATTGTTAAAATAATTCAAAAATTAATAAATATAAAAGTGTTTACCAATTTTTTACTCGATTAATTTGACCAAAAATCAGGTAGGAATACTACACTTGATTGGGTAGGGTAGGTCAAGAATTTTTTTTTTCACAAAGTATTGGGTAGGAAGACAGAAAATTATATTTCCTATCTGTAGGGTAAGGTGAACACCCCTACCCGCAAGGACAAGTAAGAGGCAGAGAACAAGAGAAAGAGGACAAAGAGAGTCTCTGTCCCACACCCCAGAGAGAACGACAGGCTTTCATGCCGCTCAATGCCTCGGTGGAGCACTTCATGTTCTTGATACAAGACGATCCTACGTTCTGCTAGCCTAAAAAAATGAAGTTTGCCTCGAACGGAAGAAATCCAAGTAATTATTGTCGCTTCCACTGTGACCATGGCCATGACATTGACAACTAATTTGAGTTAAAAAAGGCAGATCGAAGAGAATATTCAGCATGGTTTGTTACAACAGTATGTGGCTGGCTGAGGATAGGCCCTATCTCTGGGTAGGAATCAGGAGGATCGAGAGCGCTAGCAACCCCTTGGAGAAATCTAGATAATCTCTGAAGGGTTAAAAGAAGGAGGTAACTCCAACTCTGCTAGGAAAGCACACACCATGAAAGTCAGGCAGGTAGAGTCACAAGACTCTCGCCCAACAAAGACACCCTGGCACAGGGACGAGGAGATCATCATCTTCTTGGACAAGGACCTCGAGGGAATCCAAGCCCCTCACAATGATTCTGTAGTCTTAGCCATGATGGTAGCCAACTATCAGGTTAAGAGAATTCTAGTTGACAGCGGCAGCTCAACCGATATCCTATTTATACTAGCCTTTGACAGCCTTCACCTTAGTAGAGAGAAAGATTGCAACTCGTCAGGACTCCCCTTGTTGGCTTATCGGGGGAAAGGGTTTACCCCTTGGGTTCCATCACTTTGTCAGTCACAGCAAGGACAACACTAAGAAGTTTCACCATCATGGTGAACTTTATTGTACTAGACTGTCCCTCTGCCTTCAATATTATTCTTAGACACCCTGCCCTCAACGCCTTAAGGAAAGTGTTGTCCACCTACCACGTGCTCCTCTATTTCCCAACCACTAGTGGGATTGGAGAAATCAAAGGAGACCAGGTCTGTACTCGGGAATGCTACGTGGCCTCTATGAGGGCCTGAAGGCCATAAGAAACCCTCCAAGTCAAAATATCAGACCCTCGGGATGACATTACCTTGGAGAGAGGAGAACCAGTAGAAGAACTTCAGCCAATAGAGCTGGATGAAAGCCTTTCTGAGAGGAGAATTTATATTGGCTCCTCACTTTTTCAGGAGCAAGCATCCAATTTGGTAGACTTCTTCAGGCGGAACATGAATGTCTTCACTTGGTCCCACAAATACCTGGAGAGCATCAACTCCGAAATGGCCTCCCACCAACTTAATGTTGATCCCATGTACAAACCCGTCTGCCAGAAGTTAAGGAATATGAGTGTTGAGAGAGGCCAAGTTATGGAAAAGGAAGTGGAAAAACTATTGAAAAATGGGTCAGTAAAGGAGGTAGCCTACCCAAATTGGCTATCAAACATAGTGATGCTTACGAAGGCCAATGGAAAGTGGTGCCTCTTTATGGATTTCACGGAGATCAATAAAGTCTGTCCCAAAGACAACTATCCTCTCTCATGCATCGATCTCCTTATTGATGCCACTGTGAGACACATGCTCCTAAGTTTTTTGAATGCTTACTCCGGGTACAACCAGATTAGAATGTTCTCTCCGGACCAGCAGAAAACCTCATTCATCACCCCGAACGTCACCTACCGCTACATAGTGATGTCCTTTGGACTCAAGAACACCAGAGCCACATATTAGCGCCTCGTGAACAAATGTTCGAGGCTTAGATTGAGAAGACCATGGAATTCTATGTGGACGATATGTTGATGAAGAGTATGGCCGCGACAGACCATGTGACACACTTCTAAGAGACCTTTGATGTACTAAGAGCCTATAGGATGAAGCTAAATCTTGAAAAATGTGCCTTTGGCATTAGTTCAGGAAAATTCTTAGGTTTTATGGTCAATAAAAGGGGCATTAAGGCTAACTCATACAAGATTAGAGCTATCTTGGAGATAAAGTCCCTAGCCTCTATGAAGGAGATCTAACGTTTTAACAGGAAGATAACAACTTTCAACAGGTTTGTCTCAAAGTAGGTGGACAAGTGTATGCCTTTCTTCACAATCCTCCGCAAATCTTTTCAGTGGGGATCAGATGCAGAGGTGACCTTCCAGAAGTTAAAAACCTACCTCGTTACACCCTTTGCTGCTCCCTTGTTGTACTAGGAGAGACCTTGTATATTTACCTTTTCTCCTCAGCCTCTGTAGTGAGCTCTGTCCTTGTTAGGGAGGATAGAGGCATCCAAAAGCCTGTATACTATGTAAGTTGGGCATACCGAGGTACGGAGGTAAGATACTCAGAGCTTGAGAAATTGGCTCTCGCACTTGTCATCGCTGCCAGACACGTACGTTATTACTTTCAGAGTCATACCATCGTGGTTATTACAGATCAACCCCTTAAGAGAATTTTAGAAAATCCTAATGTGTCCGGCCAACTACTTAAATGGGCCGTTGAGTTGAGTGAGTTCGATGTATAGTACCAGCTGAGGACAGTCATGAGGCAAGCCCAGTCATTATCCCCAGAAAGCCTGACGACCTGGAGACAGACCCTCAGGTTCCAGAAGACTAGACCCTGAGGCTAGAAGCCTCCACCTCTTGTACCTACTCCACATCAGCCCTCAGCACCCTCGTTATCCACTCCTTCGTCTACTGTACTATGCTGGAAGCTGTAT